GCCCTATTTATTGAAAAATAAACAAATCTCAGTATTTTAAATCATTCATTCGAGGAAGGGTAAAACCTTATTTTTTCTTCCTCTCCCATTTTGTCTTCCAGTGGGAAACTCCAAGGTATTTTTCTTTGCAATAACACTCTTCAGGTGCCTAAAATAAAGCAGAAATACATTCAGTTTCCCAGCCAGAGCTGGAAAGAACCACAGCTTTACATAAAGGGCTGAGCTGAGAAATAGCCAAGAGAAAGGACTAAGCCAGGATGTACCTGGGGATTTTGCTCTGAAGTGCATCCCAGCGTGACACATTTGGCAGCTCAAAGAGGTTCTTATCTCTGTCCTGGCTCCTGCTGCCTTCAAAGCATGTGGTAATGGCCCAGACATCTGGCAGAGTAAATAACCAACCCCAAACTTTTCCACCTACACACAAACCTTGGGACAGAGGTGCTTCAAGGAGCCAGCACTAGTGAATGGGAAAACACATTCCACTTCCTGTAGATACCTTTGTTTCCATGGCTCTCTTCTTTTTGCGCCATGGTCCTGCTGCATATAAACCAGAGCCCCTGGCTCAGTCCCTTCTCCAGGGGCTGGAAGAAGCAAGGCTCTCGATGCACTGGGCAGACCTGCTCATCCTTCTCCCTGCAGCCTGGTACCAGCTGGCAGCTTTCCTCTTCGCTGTTCTCTTCCATTACCTCTGTGCTTTGGGGCACCTCTCTCTGATTTCCCGGTATGTGGTCTCCATCCCTGCTGCCATACCAAAGGCAGTTTGTGTCCATGGGTACTTTCTGGGTCTCTCCTGGCTGTCCCCAGTCCCCTCTTTGTGCAGTAAGACTACTTCAGGGTGGTTAAAGCTACAATAGCCAGGCTAGGCTCTCCTGCATTGCAAGAGGTGGGTTTACCAGAATGAGCGCAGAGGCAAGAAGAGCAGGGCAGGGAATGGGGACTATCTCTAGTGCGACGTGGATAGGGGCTAGGCAGGACCTGCTTTTCCCTGCCTCAGTGTGGCCCTGTGGAGGCTGCACTTCTCATACTACTAACACTAGAGCAGGAATTCCAAGCTACATTTTCCCCAAAAGCTGTCCAAAAGGTATCTGGTCTCTTCTAGGTACATATTCCTCCTTGCTGGAGGATGCCTCCTTGCAGGCACAGCCATGGGCAGTTACGCCACGCTGCTTCTCATCCTTGCTGTCAGCTCCGTGCTCATGCTCCTCTTGGTCAGTCCAGCTCATGTCCATACCTGGGTCTTCAGCCTCCAGATGTGCTGGCAGACACTCTGCCACCTGGGCCTGGTGCTGGAGCCACAGGACACCAGGTAACCCTCCAGCATTGCTTCCCTCCCTTTCCCACCCTCACAATTGCTTTGGGAGGAACTGCATGAAATGCTGCTTCGTAGCAGTCGGTCTCCCTGGGCCTCCCTCAGCCTGCAGCGTTCTGTGGGCATGACGGGGGAAGGTGGGACATGCATACTCATGCCCACCCTTTGAGTCTCTCAGCAGTGCTCAGGTGCCCTCTCCTTCCAGGCCAGCTGTCACCCTCTCTGCAATCATGCTGCTCACTCAGAAGGTGACATCTCTGGCCCTGGACATCCACGAAGGGACCGAGCTGCCCCAGCCTGGCCAAGGGCTGTTGCAGAGAGCCCTGCCCCTGTGCAGCTACCTGCTCTTCTTCCCAGCCCTCCTTGGAGGCCCACTGTGCTCCTTCAGCAAGTTTCAGGCTCAGGTCATGTCTCTGGGGGCCATCCCCTGCCCGCTGCGGGCTGTGGGCTGGAGGTGCCTTGGGGTGCTGGTGCTGCAGGTGCTGCGTGCGTGGCTGGAGGGCTGGCTGCCCTGCATGCAGGGCTGGGCCAGCATGGGCCACATGTGGGCACAGGCTTTGCTCTTCAGACTGGCATACTACTCGCAGTGGGTACTGGATGAGGCCCTCCTGGAGGCTGCAGGCTTTGGGGCAGCGGTGGAGCAGGGTGACCTTTCTGGCCATGACCTTTGGACACTGGAGACCACACATCGCCTGGCTGTCTTCTCCAGAACATGGAATAGGAGTACATCCCTCTGGCTGAGGAGGCTGGTCTTCCAGCGCTGCCCAGCTCAGCCACTCCTTGCCACTTTTGCCTTCTCTGCATGGTGGCACGGCCTTCGTCCGGGCCAACTCTTTGGTTTCCTGTGCTGGGCGATCATGGTAGAAGCCGACTATCGCATCCATCCCTTCCTCAGCTCCCGGGCCACCTCCTGTGTTGCAAAGTTCCTCTACCGTGGCATAACCTGGGTCTTCACACAGCTCATCATTGCCTACATCCAGATGGCTGTGGAGACGGAGAACTTCTCCATGCTCTGTCTACTCTGGACTTCCTACAACAGTATCCTTCCCCTCACCTATGGCCTCGCGCTGCTGCTGCTGCTGCTTGCTCAGAAACCAAAGCAGAACTGAGTCTGTCCTGGGCTAACTCGACTGACTGGCTAGAGGACTTCCCTGCACGTAGAATTGTAAATGTGGGAAAGATCACTAAGATCACTGAGTCCAATTATCAACCCATCCCCACCATGCCCACTAACCGTGTCTCTCAGTGCTTTCACTTTTCTTGAAAACCTCTAGGGATGGTGACTCCAGCACCTCCCCGCGCAGCATGTGCCAATACCTCACCACCCTCTCTGAGAAGAAATTTTTCATGTGAGCACACAGAGATAAGAGCTTTTGTCAAGAAATCTCCAGAGGCTCAGCTTGTCTTTTACTCATGGGATATCCCCCAACTTCAAGAGATGCTCTGAAGCAAGGCATGGATATCACCAAACTGGACAGAAGGGCTCCAGCAGCACTGGCTGCCCAGTGGTTGTCTTGGGGCTTTCGGTCTCAGCCTCATTTCATGTGGAAAGCATGCAGCCTTGCCACCAAACTCATCTGTACTGCAAATGTGCATTTGTCAGCAACAGTGTCTACCTCCTGAGAGCTTGTCCTCCACTGGGATCACAGGTATGTGGAGGGAGTCACACCTTACCAGCTTTCTTGTACCAAGAGCCAGTGGGAGCCTGGACACAGGAAAAGGAGCTGGCAGTCTATTTGGGGTCAGCACAGGACAAACAACATTCCTTTCCCTACCACCCAGCAGCACAACTGGAAGGCATGGGCTTGCTGTGCTTCTCCAGCAGGTGTCCCTTCACACTTTCCCTGATATATTTTAGTCTGGAGAAAAGCATAAGAGATCAGAGGGAAAGATATTAGGAAAACGTAGATTTAAGAGTTTTTGTTTATATGAAAGCATGAAACCAATCATTCAGTGTCACCAGAATATAGCTGAAAATGTTACAAGACTGTTGTTGGCCTCTGATATATGGGAGATGCTGCTGCAGGGAACCAGGATCAATACCAGAAGCAGCCTCAAACACCCCAACTCAAGTGGAAGCATTACAATCAGGTTCAAATCCTACACCATGTAGATCTTACAGCAATACTTACGTCAGGGTGGATGTTTGTTACTAAACTCAGCATGCAAAATTGATCCGACCTTGCTTTATGTGGGCTAGCTGGATGTTTGGGTCCTGCTGAGCACTCAGCTGAGCCTTGCAAGCCACTTGCCACATATATTATCTATTTCCCTTTGCCAGCACAACTGTTATAAGATCACATGCAGCAGACTGGGGCCAGACTTTCCAGGGTAAAGCATGCGGGATGGTCCACAGGACAGTGGTTCCCAAGCAAGAAGGTTCATGCTGCCTGTATTGGAGGGAAGTGTATGGAAGAGTCAGGCGCAAGAAAGCCAGTGCATAAAAAAATCCCCGACAGTTGGAGTCATCCCACATTCTTTCAGCAGGCAGGGACGTGCAAGGCTTCCTCCCTAAGGGGATTGGGGGAAATTCAGTGCAAACGGGTGCCCAGCCAAGGAACCATCCCCTCCCATCAGCAGCAACCACAGCCAAATAGATTAAAAAATCCAGGTGAGAAGCCTGGAGAAGATTCACAGAAAGTGTACGGTGTGTCAAAAATCCCAGGGAATTAAAATTCCCACAAGAGAGCAGGCTAGAGCTGGAAGTGAAGTGAGGCTGAAGGAAACTTTTCTCCTCATTTTCAGCTGAACTGGGGTAGCTCAGCTAGTGATGTCTTCCCTCAGCAAACCTGATACAGGGCTCTCTTCATAAGCCCCAAACCTACTCCTCAGACAATGACTGCAGAACTGTAGCAGGGTAGCTCATCTCTGCCTCATTCTGGAGTGGAAGAGAGTAAAACTAGCCCCCAAATCTTCCTGGAAAATAAGCAGCAGCATGGCATCTCCACAAAGCCAGTTGGCTGCTGTATGTCTTGATGGAGGGAAAGGAGCTGGAAGGGCCTAAGCGGCTTCGCTCTCTTCCACGGTGGCACATCTGTTGGAAGAACATTCACAGTGCCCTACACATTTTTAATGCAAACACCAGCAGCAATAAGGGCCTCCCAGACCAAAGGCTGCTGTGGCCAGGCCAGCTAATCTAACAGTTAAGGGGTTAAATAAACGTTACTCAAAAGGGACAGGTAAGTTATCTGGTGATGGGAAGGTGTTGGAGGGATGGGGAAAGCAAAGTGGCCTGGCCCTGACTTTCTTCCCTGAGGCCTTAGAGGTGAATTGGGGATTTTCCATTTCATTAACTTTACAAGGGGTAATTCCCAGCATTCAGCATCATCTCTGTGAACAGCCCCATCCTGGCTCTCTCATCCTTGCACAGATGAGCAGCTACGAGGCTGCAGTTCAAGACAGGAAGGCAATGCTGTATTAGCACCTAAAGAAGGTAATAGGCAGGTGACAATGCGTTTCTCACAGCAGAAAATACACCCTATATAGCCATGATTTTTGTTGTAAAAGTGAGAAACAAAATGGATGACAAAACACACATGAATTTGAAAGCCCCTTGTGGTTCTTCCTCACAAAGGAGAGTTATATGTACTGCTCTTGCTTCCAAGAATAAGCCAGCCTGCCCACTCTGCTGATCAGAGTAGGGACCAAAGAATTGTCCCACGTGTGCAGAAATCAACTCACGTACATTTTGTTCATGAGAAACATGCACACACAAGCAGGAGTTTATTAGTCCACAGACTTACCATACAAAAAAAGCCCTCGTTTAGAGGAGTAGGCTCCCGGTTTTGCCTGCTCACAAATTAGTGCTCAGGGTACTAACCATGTCTTACATTGATCAGAGCTCAGGACAGGAGATGAACACATGTTCACAGCCGAGATTCAAGCCTCTCACATTTTAATGGGGCTGTGTACCTTTCACTGCAAGGCAATCAGGAGTCCTCAGCCACCTCTGAGACATGTCCAAGGTCAGAGCAGCTGCAGCAGTTTTAATGTGTGTGAGAGGGAGACAGGCTCAGCAGAGGCCAAGTACTGGCAGCACAGCCAGTCCTCCAGTTCCACGCTCCGCTCCGTGTCCACAGCCCTCTCCGCAAACTTCATCATCAGCAGGGCACGCTTCATGTCCACCCAGTTCTGAAGCACCTGGTGGAGGGCTTCCTCGTGGCTGAGGGGCTGTTCAGTCAGGTCCTTCCGTGGCCCCCACAGCAAGCACTGCAGCATCCGCTTGGCCTCGGTGATCCGCACGCGCTTGATGGGATCTGCCTCTAGAAGCAGGTGGGCCAGCTGCTGGAGTCCCCGGGAGTAGATGGACAAGCTGGGCAGAGAAGGGAGGTCCTCAGGACTGTACTCCTGCTCCTTGAGGTGCACCTTCTCCTCAAAGGGGTTGGGCTGGTGCAGGAGTTCATAGATGAGAATTCCAGTCTGAAACTCATCAAACTTCTTGTACTGAGAAGCTGACACAATCTCCGGGGCCAGCCGGGCCTGGCTCTTCTTCAGTTTGGAGTCTCCAGATCCTGGCTTCTGTTTAGCTTTCAAAAAATTGCTGATGATGAGGCGGGGCAAATTTCTGTCATCTCTGACTTTCGCACAGCTCATGGGGGGTTTGCAGGGGACAAGAAGAAGGTTCTCCAGACACAGGTCCCGATGGATGATGCCATGCTCTTTTAGATGCTCCAGGCCATTGCAGAGCTGGAGAAGCAAGAAGCAAACCCGACGTTCGTACATCTCAGGTTTGGCTTGGTGCAGCGTCACTGAGTCCCTCACGAAGTCGGCGGTGGTCTGGCTCGGCACCTCGCGGGTGATGACCACCACACAGTCATGCTCACTGGTGGTGCGGGAGGGACGGAGGCCATCCCCGGACATGCTCTTGCTCACATCGGAGGCCAGCAACATGCTGGAGGGCACAGAGGCCACAAAATGCCCACAGTCCTGCTGTATGTTGAAGTGGACTGGTACTGGGGGGCTGCAGTACGAAGCAGCCACCTTGGACTCTTGGGTTTTACATATCTGTGAGGAGACACCAAAAGAGAAGTCTTATCAGTCACCACTTTCTTCTCACCACACCCTTCTCTGGTCCTGCATCCTGGAGTTCCTTTCACATCCTCCTCAAACACTCCACTTCCTTGCTTCAGTAACTACCCTGATCAATGGCTGAAGAAAACCAGTAGCAAACTATAACAGATAAAGCTCCAAACTCAAGGGAAAAAAAAAAAAACCACAAAACATTTTCTAGTCTAGATTATCTTAAACTAACATGACTTTGCCTTCATTTCATTTTATATTTGAGCATTAAAGACTAAGCAAACTCCAAACCAGTTTTATTATGGGAGTATCCATTAACTTATGGGGCCTTCTGGCATTTCTATTATACTTTTTTTTTTCCCTTTTATTTGGGGATATATTTATATCTTACCCACAGGAATCAACAACAGGCTGAAACACAGCATGAAAGGTTTCAAACCCTGGAGCGTGCCACTGCCAGTCACGGCATGCGTGCAAAATCGGACGAGAAATCAATTTTGCCTCTGAGTTAAAATAAATTCAAGAATAGAGAGGAGCTGGGGAAGCAGGCTGCTTTTGTATTCCACTAGCAGTGGTTCGAATCTCGGCGCTTGCAGGTAATTCACTCAGATGAGATGATAGTGTGGAGATAGAGCATTTCAAGCTCCTATTGTCCTTTCTCTTCTAAACAAAAATACTCTGCTGCTTATTTTGTGGAAAGATAATCTCTGGAGAGCTGGACAGACTGCAGATTGGGTTACAGCAAGCCCAAATGTTTCCAATGGCAGAGGAAGCCTTCCATATCCTTGCTGCTCAAATTTGCTTGTTCCTCCTCACATAGGTAAGACTTAGAAGGTTTAGGACAAAGGAAAGAGGAGTCCTCAGGAGAATAAATGCAACCAGATAGGGTCAGGGAGATCCTCCCCAGTCAGCTGTTCTTCATGACTTTCACTTGCACCAGAGGCATCCTCCATGCAGCAAGACCAAGTAAGAGCCTGAGGCTGGATTAGTCATTCATCTTTAAGCAGAGAAAGAAGCCAAGGAGTAGAATGCATCTTGGCTTAATTCCTCTAAAGACATTTCATGTAACCTTGGGTCCTTCCAGTTAATTTAGATGTATCCATGCCTGCCTTTGCACAGCCCAAACTGGCTCTGGCTGCACAGGTCAGGTCCTCTACCCATCAGGAGTTATCCGAATCTAATTTTAAGTACAGGTCTGTGATTTCTTACATGTCCAAAAATCTGTACCACAAGCCAGGAAGAGCAGCTAGAAATCAGCCAACGGTAGAGCTTTGCAAGTATTCTCTATTTGATCTACCAAAAAGAAGTTGACCCACTGGAACACTGCAGATGTGTGAGCGCACACGCATAAGCACATATGTAACTTCACTTAATGCTGGCTCAGAGCACTGCCCTGTTGGACCGGTTTTGGCTTTATTACAGTGCTCTGCAGCATAGCAAGAGCACAGAATAAGCACACAGGGAGACAAGCACAGACCCATTAAGAGACTAAAATGTGGTGTTTCTGCCTTGGCAGTAATTCATCCACTACAGCAGAAGAGCTTAGCTTCTGAACCCCCCCAGGCACAGCAGGCAAGATGGAAGGTCTGCAGGTACCACAGGGAATCACACATTGAAAAGGAACATGCTACTTCACCATGCAGTTCTCAGATTTCTGGAGGAAATTTTCCATGGATTAGGAATAATGTGCAAGAGAAGCTGCTGCTCTGAGTGTTGGACTGGCAGCAAGCCCCCATCCAACTCTACTCTGGTTATTCAGAGCCCTCCTGTTGGGTTGACCCTACTTTCTTTGAAAAAAATCAACTGGCTTTAAAGCTATCACTTAGCTAAAACACTCCCTTGGGGGCTGTACTAGTGAAAACAGTTCAGAAGAATTTTTTCTTCTTGCTTAATGCATCTCTAGCATTGCTTTTTTGGGGAATTATTTTAGATTTTTAAAAGCAATATGAAGAGGAAGTAGCAATGAACTTCCCCTAGGCTGAAGTCCAAATAGAAATTAAAGGCTCAGTATTCAAGCAGTAACTTGGGTCAAGAACACTGAATCCATGAAATGTGCATGAAGTTTATTGATCTAGGTTTCAGAGAGCTTGACCATGGCACCTCAAATTTCCATTTCAAACATAGATTCTACACAATGACAGGAATATATGTATGTCAGGTCTGACCTTACACAGCATGTCTAGGTCAGCCTTGCTTTGTTTAATTGGGACATGAAATATCTTAAAGCCTGTAGCTTCAAGATCATGCAAGCACTCACACAGTTTCTGGATCAAACCTTTCACTTAAAAGGCAAGCCAAGGGGAAAATGTGTGTATTTGATAGCTTTTAAGCAGCTTCTGTTGTCAGAAATGAACAATGCTAACTTCACAACATAGTTTTTGCACAAAGTTTTTTAGAGAGAAACGGGTTGTGTTGTGAACACCAACAGTCTGCAGAAGTAGGCACCTGGCTGACATTTGTTACAACAAAAACCCACATCTCCAAATCAACCCTTTCAAGATGTGAAGGAAGACTAGCAATCTTGGGAGGGGTTTTCACTTGCCAAACTTCAGCTGTGAGAATGATGAACCTGAGGAAAACAGGCCAGCAAATACTGGTGGCGCTTCTTAAAGCTGTATTGCTAATTCTGCTCTTTCATTTGGTGTCCAATGGAAAGGAACCCAGAAATTCAATCCCAGCTCTGCTATTGGCCAGGTTGGATGGGGCCCTGCTCTAGTACTAAATGTGGAGGTTGGCTGCATACGGTGTGTTTTGATGATCCTTGAGGTCCCTTCCAACCCAAGCCATTCTACAATTCTGTGGGATGCAGACCCTGCAGCTCTCTGCCCAGGCTTACCTTTGTCACGGCCTTACCTTCACAGCATAGGTGGTGGAAGGGTCCTTGGAGCAGGTGGCACAGTAGTAGATTGCATCCCCTGAGTCACAGCAGGGCTTGTTGCACGCCAGCTTGAAGAGTGACCAGTTGTTCTCACTGAAGTGCAGCTCGTTCTTCTGCTCCCGCATGAAGCAATCCTCACACTTTGCGACCAGGCGGCGCAAGGACTCAGCATAGAGGGCCCCCAGCTTGGCGTACACCCCCTCCTTGCTGTCAATATTGCTCAGGAGGTTGTGGAGCTGGAGGCTGGAACCTGATGATACTTGGCTGGACATGCTGAGTTGCGAGGAAGAACGGGACTGGAGGTTTCTACTGGGGACGCAGGTCCCTGTGTTCTTGCTGGTGGCTGAGCCCCAGTAGCCATTTCCTTTGGAGCCTTTCTCCAGGGACTCTGAGGAGGAGAAGATGCTGGGGTGACCTCTGAGGCTGGCCGGGTGGAGGAAAGGAGAGTCTTCATGGAGGCAGACGTTGCTCTCAGAATGGCTTACGTTCAGCCTGGGGCAAGCAGTGCCAGCTGCTCTGCCTGAAGACCCCTGCCCTCCAAAAAAGCCATCTGGGGAGGACACCGTCCTGCTCACTGTCTTCTTCTGAGGAAGAGGAGGCGGGCGGCTTGAGACAGAAGATAGACTGTCATCACCAGAGGCAGGAGGGAAGGGGACAGGGGGAAACGCCAGGCTTTCAGCTGGAGGGGGTGAGTGGTTTGGCTCAGATGAGTGCCCTAGGAGACAGCAAGACACAGGATTTGATCAATGGTGAGGAGCACAGACCTCTCTCCATGTATCTGCCATCCCCACAAGCTACCACCACCAGTACCCCACAGGCAATTCTCATCACCTGCAAAGGTACACCATAGGGGTCAGGTCTTTAATCTGGTTTAATACAGCAGCTCTGAAAAGCAGGCTGCAACCAGCCAGCTAAAGAAATGGTCTGCAGATCAGAAATTGCTTTCCTATGAACTGCATGCATGATAGCAAAAAGCTGGTAGAGGACAAATATTTAAGTTGTGACATCATACAGAAGGAGGTAAGAATGAAGAACTTAGGGATTCTTGATGGACAGCAATCTCTCAAGCAAAGCCCGTTTCACCTGGGAGCTGCCACCCAGTGCCTCAGCAGCATAGCAAGATAAGAGTGACTCATGCAACACACAGCTCTGGTTTAAACATGAGCAGAGCAGCCCAACAAGGATATTGAACACGTCTCTCTGCCTTACATTGGGTAAGGGTCATTGTGTGGTGTTTGGCAAGCTCAGCTCTTCTGAAGAAATCTGGCCTCCCCACTGTCTGTCCCCAGCTTACATCAGACTTCCCTGCTCAGAGGGCAACCAGCCCCACTGCATACCACAAAACCCTTTCAGCTCTCTACAGCATATGCACAAGCACAGGAACGCTCATTCAGGCAGCTGTAGCTGTTGTCTTTCTACCTGGCTGAAGATGGGTAATATGGATGCAGAAGAGGAAAGAAGTGGAAAAGGATGATTAACTCTGAAATAAGAATCAAGACTTTCAGGTCAGGGAGACAGAAAAAAAAACAGAGTCCTTGTCTGGTCCACAGGAAAGATCCCCTCCATCAAAAAACTGTCAGAACCTGCAGACGAGGCATTCAGCAGAGCATCTCTTGCAACTTCCACTCCAAGGGGCTTTAACAGAAGATGCAGCTAAGAGGAATTCTTCAGCATGCAGCCCAAGAGTAACACAATCACCAGGATATGCAGTCAGATTCCCACTTCAAGAGGCAGGATTTATTTGATAGAAGCTTATGGAACAAGCAACAGCACTGGAATCTCTGTCAACCAGTTCACATGCACAGCCTACAAATGCCAAGTTGCTCTCGCCTCTTTTTTATGTGCTGCTGGGCTCTGCCCTAAGCATAGGTTAACAGCTGACATCCTTCCATAACTTTACCCTGAAGGTGCAGAGCACAGTAAGGAGAGTCCTTCCTTCTGCAGCAAAGGGCTTGAACACCCCATATTTTAACATCTGACAGCATAGCCAATTAATGCGAGCTCACCTCACACAATGACTGACTGCGTAACAACTGCTTGCTTACATCAGCAAGAGGAAAAAATTACATACAGGTTACTTAGTTTAAAGCACAGCCTTCTGAGTTGAATTTAAAAAGTTGCCTCTGCTAGTGGAGGCAGAGAAATCCTCTTGTTCTGTGTAAGTTTTGACAGCAAATTGCTTCTGTGCCCTGCAAGTAAAGATCTGACACGTGTGCGTTCTCCTTCCCCATGTACAATTTCCTGGCAGTCTCACTCTCAGAGTCCAAGATAGAAATGGAAAAATCGACTTTCCAGAGCTCTGACTCTTAATTTTATAGCTGCACGTTGTTGCTCTTGGAAAGACAGAACTTCCACTGCACGAAGGTTGCTTTTGCAAAAAGGAAATACTTTCTGAGCTGCCAAACATGTTAGCACATGTCTAAGTTACGCACTTATGAAGAACGTGACTTCATATTAGTATTTTTTAATTTCAGTTAAACAAGTGCAGGCAGATTTTCCCCCTTCAAGAAACAACTGGGAACACAATGAGGAGAGATCACCTCCAGCACAAGAATCCTAGTACTTTTCAAATCATTTAAGGACTGTCCATGAATGCAACTTTGGGATGTATGAAATGTATGAAGCACAACCAAGACGAACAGAACTGCTTTCAGACAGGGGCTTCATTCAGACAAGAGGAAAATCACGGGACAAACAGATTTGCCACTGACCAAATGAAAGAGGAAAAAGCCATGATGTTGATCGGTCTCTGCCACATTAAGTGTATCAAGAAGCAGGAGGGTGAGATAACAACTTCTAGTTTTGCCAGGGGAGTTTCAGATTGGATATTAGAAAAAATTTCTTCTCAGAAGGAGTAGTGAGGCACTCACACAGGCTGCCCAGGGTGATGGTGGAGTGACCACCCCTGGAGGTGTTCAAGAAACATAGAGATGTGGCACTGAGAGACGTGGTTAGCGGGCATGGTGGAGATGGGCTGATGGTTGGACTTAGTGGTCTCTTCCAAACTTAATGATTCTATTATTCGATATGGTGGTTTGCTGGGAGAATTAGGTGATGGGATCCTTATGATCTCTGCTTTGCAAATGCTGCCCCAGCAGTGGGACTCAATATAGGGCAATCCCTCCTCAGTGCTAATGCTACCTTTCCTCCACCCTGCAGCCACTTACTGCCATCGCTGCCGGCCTGAGTGTCAGAGTTGAGGCTGTCGGAGGAGCCAGCTGTGAAGCTGACGTGGACGCTCCTGAAAGGTGGGCTCAGGCTCTCAGCAGAGCTGTTGCTGGCTCTCTCCAACTCAGCGTTATTTGGGTTCATCTTCGGAGCATGCCTAGGGAGAGTAAACAGAAAGGTCAGGAGACAGTAAAAGACACAACGCATATACTTGTGCATGGAGAATCAAGCTGAGAGCGGCCTCAGCTTGATCTCTGCACATCCATACAGACACCGTGCAGTCTTTTATCAGGCTGTTACCTTATGCACTTTTCTTCTTCTTTCTCTAGAACTTGGGGATCATATCTCACTGACACTGAGCAAGCTATAGCCCTGCAAAGCACCAGTCCCCACAAGAAACCCGCTGCGTTTGAGCAGAGAGAGACCCATTGGGGCAACAGCACCCAACCCTGGTCTGCACCTTCTTTTTCCTAGTGTGGTCTTGAATCATATTCCATTTTGGCCATTGCCACTGGGAAATGGGAATCCACCATTATTTGCCCGTGGTAAAACTCAGTGGAAAGGCAAAGCATCACTTCTCCCAATTTACAGAAGGGCAGGTTGAGGCTGGGCATCAGAATCCAGCTCCCACTTGGCAGAGGCAAGAGGAGAAGGAAGTTCCATCACTGGCAACCATCATCTCCTTGGTGCATCATTGTAACGATTGACAACTTCCAAAAAAAGAATGATCTCTGCAGAAAACAAGAGCATGCCAAACCCAGGACCTACCATGCAGTTTTTAATGTAAGACCCACTTCCATCTAAAGGCCATACAACTTCCATCTAAAAGAAATAAATATGTAAACCATAAGCTGTCCTTATGTCCTGCCAGAGTCACAGTTCAAACGATCAATTGTAGGCAAGCAGGATACAGAGTGTGATAAAGAGTTTCCCCTGCATTTTCTTTATTTTTTCTTCTCTGGAAAACAACAGCAGCTGTTGAAATCAAACACCCCATCTTTGGTACAGTTCAGATTCTACCGGCCAGTAAACAATGGTTATTTGCCCCTTTTTTTTTTTTTTTTTTAAATGAAACTGCTAATCTACTGATAAAACTCAACAGATTGTTGAATGAGAACATATAAAGGCTGCTGGAAAACTTGCAAAAAAGAAAAACAGCTTCCACCAGCTATCTTGCTGGAAGGTATCTGGCGTTTCCTAATCAGAGCTGAATGGCTGCTGAGAAAGACAAACAAAAGGCATGCATGGCTGTGTTCTTGTGACACACTGTTCACACACACACACACAATCCCTCCTCTTCCACAAGCCCAAGCCCAGCCGATGCCACAAGTGTTTTAAGGTTAAGAAACATTTTGCCCTATGTCCAGACAAAGCACTTACTCTCATGTCCACACAAAACCACATGGAAAGCAGCACGTAGGAGAAGCCCGGAAGAAACTTCTGCCAGACTTCCTCATTTGCCCAAGCAGCCTCATTCTAAAAATACTCAGGGACTGATCAAAATGAGGCTGTGAAAACCACCCCAGGTACAGCTTAGTGGAGCTGCTGCTCTTGATCTTGCACCGGTGATGAGTTTACCGCACGCACTCGGTCACCGCAGCCAGCCTCTGCGGGATGGTTTGCAAAACTTCACACGCATCACACAAGGCAGGTTAAAAGAAAAAAGTAAAAAGAGCAAGCAAGAGATGCATAGAGATTTTTAGCTCTGTTGCTGGCAACCAGCTGGTCTCAAATTCTTTTTTTTTTTTTTTTTTTTTTAAATAAAACTATATGTATACATATATATACACACACACATACACATACGTAAACTATTCAAATTCATCCCATAACTGCATTGCTCAGAAGCTCAGCTTTTAGTAACGTGGGGAAATAGATGGACAGGTACCCACCCACGCACTTGAGAATCAAGGAAGCATTTGAATCCATAAAAAAAGAAAGATTTGAGGAGAGAGTTGGTCTTGATTTGCACAGATGAGAAGTTTTCTAACACGTTCCTCCCCCCATCCACACACACCACACACGCACACAAAAGAAAAGTTGATGATTTTCAGTTTCTGTCCCATCACTTAAGCACAGATCCACGGCGCTGCCTTACCATTCCCGCACTCAGGCAGTGATGAGACTTTGCTCAGTGGTGCAAGGTCCGCCGCGCGCAGCCGCACCTATTCCTCCCAGCAACCTGGGCACAACACAGCCGCCGCCAGCACCCTCCTGGCTGCGTGTTTGCCGAGCCCAGCGCTGAAGTCATACATACAGAGAGCCCCATTTCCTTTCTGTACCACTGTGACTTATGTAAAATGCAGTTCCTGAATAGGCACACCGAAATAGAAATTGCTCGCCGCTTAAGCGACATCCTGCTCTTGTTTCAGATGCTGCAGCAGGCCAGCTTATACTGCCTGGAAATATTCTAGTTTCACATCTCCCTCCTTTCCTAGGAGCTGCTCAACACACAGCCTGCAGCATGCCCAGGTTAAATAAACTGATCACTGTACTAAAGAACTACTGACAGTGCTTGCTGTGGCCAAACTGTTCCATTTCAATAAAATTAGCTGAGCTATTGCTCACTGCAACAACCTACGGGATCCCGATTTACAGCTAACCCCAACTTCCTCTCCTTTGTAGTGTTCATTCATATCAAGGGCATAGGTTACTGCTCTCTCTCTTGCCTTTTCCATCTAAAGATATTGAAAATAAAGAGCAGGAACTAATTTTAAACAATACAGCCTGGATGGAGCAGTGCCTAATTTACCTCCATTTCCCAAATCTGTGCTCAGCACCTTAAGCGGTAGCTTCAAGAGCAGCACCCTCAAGCAAGAGTGCATAAAGAGCAGGTCACAAAAGAGTCAGCTCTCAATCTAATAATCTAACAAGACAGGATTTCCAGCTTTCCTAATTACTCTGGCAGCTTTAAATGCACTTGAATTATTCAACATCCTCCACACGACATCCTGGCATACTCAGGCAACCCCTCCGATTCCCTATTCCCCAGTTTTTGCATCCTGAACAGCAGCACTATAACATGCAATCTCAGTACATCTCAAGCTCATTTGTCCTTTCACTGGTGGTGGATTTCATGACGTGCCAAGCTGCACACATTTACTGCCTGAGGTGAGCATGTTCTTCAAAGTCCAGAAGGTATCTAAAGCACTGCCCTTTGAAGATGGCACTAATTACTATGAAGACAGCAGTGCCATTTCCTTTGTTTTAGAGGCACATAAAATAGATTAACAGTCAAGGTTTATATGCTGGAAGGAACCATTAGGATCATTTTTGCCTAAACCTCTGCATAACATAGGCATAAATTTCAACAAGGACTCATTCCTTGTGCAGAATAACTGAACGCCACAGTTTTATCACAAATTTACCACCAAAGTACATTTAAACTATCACTGCACATTGAAGTCCTGAGGATCCTAGTTCTCCTGGTGAGCCCTTTCCATAGCCAACTACCCTCCCAGCTCTTGGAAGAAGGCCAATTGCCATGTTCCTTTTCCAGTCTCTTTCCTTTTGTAGTTTGACTCATTTTCTATTCAGTTTCAAGCCTTAAATATCTGTAGTCTTTCAAACAAGAACTGTATGAAGAAACAGAAGGATGAAATAGGTACAGATGAGCTTACAGCAAACCTGGAGTCTCATCAGTGCCTTGCACCGTAAGTTTTTTTCCTTCTTTTTATTGCTAGAGCAAAGAGGAACCAAAAAAAAACCAAAACAATTTCAACATGCTGCGTATTCTCTTCTTTCTCAAATTTGAAATACACGTAAGTTTACTTTAAAATAATCAGTTCAGTTTAGTCAGGAAAGTCAATTATATTGAACTTCTACAGCTTAAGACCTAGGAGGAAAAAAGATGGATACACACCTTTCCTGAAACTGCACTCAGCCTACCCTGACCTCATCTACACTCATCTGGTAAAGGGACCTTCACAGCTGTCCCACCAGAGGATGTCTTGGGCTGGCACATCCTGTCTCTGTGAGGGACTGTATCAGCATAACCATAACAGTGGTGGTTCTTCTATTGTGGAAAAGCACATGCCCATATGCTGCCCAGGCCTAAGAGAGTAGAAACGTGTCTCACAGTCACCATGCGTGCAAGATCTCCTTCCTCCTTCAGGCACATCTTCCAAGAACACCAGAGATGTTCCACCAGCACAAGTACTACCACGAGTTAAAGCTGCCAGCAATGGCTGCACACATAACACAATCCTGCTATGGTGGTTTTAACAAGCTGTGCACGTAGGCATCCCTCCCGCTGACACACACAGGTAACAACACCCTGGATCCTGCATCAACATGCTCAGAGAAGGCAAGTTGGAGATGAAAACAAGAGCACACTCAAAGCAAACAAACAAAATAACTGGCTGTGTTTGCACGGCTTGTGAAACCCACCATTGTGATCGTATCACTCCTTAGGCCACAGGACCACGCAGGGCCTCGGTAACCAGGCAGTGGTGCTCTCTGAGTAAGGCATCCCAAGGCTCAAGCTGCAGGCATCAAGGCTTTGGGAGGCAGATACATGTAGCACAAAGCATTGCCTACAGCAATGGGGATAAGAGCAAAGCCAGCACCTACCTCAATCAGATGGCATGTTCCATAGCTCCACAAATGATGCCGGCCATGGATTCCACACATACCCTGTCCTCACTTTCCCTGTCCTCTTTCTAGCACACAGATGCTTTCAAGATGACTCAGAATCAACTGTTAGAGTTGGTGCGGCCTGGGCCTGAAACAACCCTTCCAAGAAGCAGAAAATGCTCCACACCCACCAGGACAGATCACAGTTCCTAGCACCTCAAGCGGATAGTACTGCTGGGGTGTGAACCTCTGACTGTCAGGGCCACCACTCTTCTGGCCTGCCTAGTGACCTCTGCTCTGCAGGGAAAATCAGGTGCTAGAGGACTGTCAGCAGGTGAGTCGGCACTTCCTAGGTGATAACTCAACAGCACTACATCATCAGAGCTCTACTGGACCTCAGCATCTCACAAGGTCAACACAACCCCAAGCACAGGCTGATAGAAGGCACCCAGTGGCAGCAGCTGTGAAATAAGGTTTGTAGGATCAGAGCTAAAGAAGATTTCAGCGCCATCGCTGATTCTAAAGGCAATAAAGCTCACCTGTGTGCTCACATGTTTGTGGACCTTTTCTTTCCCCTCAGGCTTCATCAGCACCACGTAGCATTGCAGCAGAAAGACCAGCACTAAGAACTAAAGCCTATTTTTCATCTTGTCCCTTTCCATCGAGAAATCCGATTTGTTCACTACCTAGTCATTTTAAACCATTTGAAAATGTTCTGTTACAAGGAAATTCAAACCAACTTAAAGTTCCCACTGTTAGCCAGACCTTGAAAATCTGGTATGAGAGCAAAACAATGGATGCACCAACCCTAACACTGTCACAGCCTAAAGAATGCTGTTGACCACATACAACACTGACTGCAGGCCACATGAGCAAGTTCTCCAAATGCTCAACTTCTAAACCAAGAAGCTGGAGTCAAATCCACTGTTCAGTGCACAGTTTCAGATAACAAAACTGAATTACGCAATAAAGCAAATGCAGAACACCTGTGGAATGTGAAATATCCCAGTCCCCTGTGATCAGACAGCCTAATTCATTAATTGGACAGAAAGGAATTTTATTTTTTTTTATTCCCTGGGTGTTGTTTTTTTTTAACACAACTGTGGAAGCTGAATACACGTATACACGTAAGTATCAGAAGTCTGCTTTATTAATTACTTAGCAGAGCGACTTCCTTCCCAGATGGACAGCTTTCCTGCACACATTTTGTGGTGCCTGATGTCACCCTGCCCACAAGCCTGAATCCCAGGAGAGCTCCAGCAAAGGGAAGCTCCCTGAAGCCAGGTTGCTCCACACTTCATAAGCACATGATAGACAACTCCAATTACCTGCTTGCAGGCATGGAGCCCTCCCTGGGAAAGTACAGCTTCAAGTGTTAACCTTTAAAGCAAAAAAGATGTTAGAGCCAAATTGAAAACTAGGATTTCAGAGACCCTGGCTTTGAGCACCAAGGAAGCTGCCCATTGCCACCTACAAGATGAGCTTGTAACCTCAGGTTTTAGGTTGCACTCAATACTAAGGATTTCTGCTGAGACAGAACCAAACTGATGTGGGAAGCAGTAGAGGGGTCCAACGCATGGACCTTGCTCTCACTTGAATATTGTGATGCAGAGCAGCCATTTACAGCCAGGAAAGACCAGGGTTTGCAAATATCTGACAGTTTTTCAGCTATGCCATCATCTCCTGTACTCCTGAAAATCCACCTCAGAAAGGGAAGAAAGAAGAACAATAATCGCCTGCTGGTCAACCAAGCCCTAAAGAAACCATTGCGATTGCAAAAGCTTGGCAGTCACACACATGCTCACGGGGTTGTACCTGGACTGCTTTTTTGGTGGCGGCGGTGGTGGTGCAAACTCCACCCCATTGCTCTTGTCCTTAGGGAAGTCAAAGGAGAAAGATAATGACTTGCTGATCCCAGCCTGACTCTCCAGCACTGGGCAGTCTTCCATGAGGTCAGCCCCAGCTCTTCCATTCTCAGCTCCCACCGCCCATGGGTGGGTTGAGAGCTCCTGCTCTTCCTCTTCTTCCTCCTCTTCCTCTTCCTCTATCCGGCACTGCTTGGCCCATGTAGGGGTATAGTATTTCTGCCTCCTGTCATAGGGTGAGCCTGCCAGGCCTCTGCTGGACTCTTCCACAGAAATCCCATTAACATGAGTGCACGGAGAAGGAGATGCCCTGAAGGTGGCTGTATCCACACAGCTCCTTGGCAGCAGCTGAGCCCCAGCTCCATCCTGGCTACTGGTGTCACCAAGCTTTGTTACAGAGGAACTGACTGGGGGTACATGGCTCCCCTCATTGCCTTGCTGGCTGTTTTTGGACATCTTTGGAGGGATGGCTGGGCTCTCCATAACTGTGTTTTTGGTAGGAGCTGCCAAGTGAAACCTTGGGCCATTTTCACTTCCAGATGCTTGAAAAATCTCTCCAGGCTCGACAGTGGGTGATGAAGTCCCAAAATCAGGGTGGGAAGCAGGGCTGATACATGGCCACTGAACACCCACAGCAGAGTCAGGGCTGCTGAGAAATATTGTCTTGTGGTCATCCTCTGTGTGCGCAGCCATAATCGTTATCTTTGCTGCCACTTGGGCCGTGGAGTCCTGGTGCTCCTTTTCAGCACCCAGCAGCCAGCTCCCATCCCTCCACGTGCCATCGGCCTGCTCCTTGCCACCAGCCAGTTTCTCTGCGTCCACACATCCACCAACCCCCTTCAGCTGGGCTTTCTTCCTCTTGGTGCTCTCGGCATAGATGGGATCCCCACGGGCCGGCTCAGTGAGCCGGGTGCACTGCGGCTCCACCAAGGCCTGCTGGGGAGCGTTCAGCCCCTCAGGCCTGGAGCCTCCATCCAGGTCTCTGGGGAGAGGCAAGTCATCCTTCTCCCGGCACGGCGCAGAGGCAGCCATCTTGCTGCTGCTCTCAGGGAGGGCAGCAGTGTCAGACTGACGGGTTGGCTTTTTACTCTCTGCACACAGGGTGTAGGGGAGCAGATCGCTCCGCTCTTTCGCTATGCAGAAGGCCACGTTCACAGCCCTGTGCTCCTCCTCGCTGAACTTCACCGCCCTGCCACTCAGCCTGGAGAGATCCACAGCATCCCTCTGCCTCCAGCTGCGGGGAGCCGGGCTCTCCCTGTGGGACTCTGTGATCGAACAGTACTCTCCCCCTTCCCCTTCGACGCCAGAGCAGAGGCGGCCGCAGTCACCCTCTGAGGATGAAGGGTTTCTGCCAGAGCTCACAACACTTCTGTCCCCCAGATTAGGGCAGAGGGGCCGATGTGGCAGGGCAGACTTCTCCTTGGCTCTTTCCTCTTGCTTGCCCACCTCGCCCACCAGCACCAGGCTGTGGATGGAGACGTTCCTCTCCACGTGGCTCTCCAGGCCGCGCAGGCCCACCATGGAATAGCTGGGAGTGCAGCAGGACAGGCAGTCGCGTGGTGGGCTGTGCAGGAAGGGTTTTCTCACGCCACTGGCTCCAAACCCATCGAGGCAGATCCGCTGTGAGTCGCCTGACTTCAGAAGGAGGTGTTTACCGGAAACCATTCCCCAGCCGACCTGCGCAGGCCAAAGAGACAAGCGTGCTATCAGCACAGCAAAACGAAAGAGAAAGCAACACAAGAAAAAGAATCCACAAGAAAGTTTACCAGCATTCGCAGGCTGTTCTGTGCTGTGCTCACTCCACTGATATCTCCTGTGAGGCCTTCCTACTTGTCCTGCTTCCCACACCACTTGCATTACCAACAATGGCAATGCACTGGAAAAAGGCATCCTCCTTTCTCTTTGTGCGGGTTCACTGCCAGAAACATGTCCAACCTGTCATCCTGTCTGTGAGTCACCATGCAATTAAAGATTCAGAGAGGGAAGGAATATTTGCGCTTTCCTCTGCTATTTTCGATTCATTTCACACCGCTGCTCCAGAGCCAAACTCTCTGGAGCACAGACACTCGTAGACTGTCATAGATTGTCCTGTGACAGCAGCTTGGTGACACTCAGCAGGAGGGACTGGGGAGTAGGAAGAGGAATGTATCTGAAATCTCTTCACCTGAGAGAGATTCACACCAATTGGGTCTCACAGCATTGCTTCCCAGAAGCGAGGGAAAAAATTCACTAAAGTTCCTCTGCCTCAAGACTGGCAGGCTTAACTCAATTCTTAGGATGGAAAGTCAAGGAAAAAACAAGAAGATCATACTGGATGTGTAGTACCTGCCAACCCATGGCCAGGCTGCAGCAGCCCTGTTCCTCCATATCAGTAGCTATCCACGAGGCAGTCATGCTATGGTTTCTAGGACACCAGGCTCTGCTCTTGGCCTGAGAGCAGAAGATTCTGAGGCAGGATGGGACCATCCCCACATCTCACGTATGCCTACAGGGTGACACTCAGCTGCAGCTCAAGGACTTCTTTTCAGTACCTTTTTTTAGGAAAGTAACTAACCCATGTGCTCATTTAAGTTCCTACACACATTTTTAAGCTCCTTTGCACTCACAAGCAATGTTTAATTCAGCTTTAGCCAAAGACAATTTGGGAAACCAACACAGCTCTATAAACCTGAGTCAAGAGCAAAAGGAAAAGCAGTGAGAATGAAACGGTTTTATCAGATCCTCCTAGTGTTCCTGAGCGGAGGTAAGTAACGGGAAGTCATGCTTTGACTGGATTAATCATTACCTGTGACAGATCTGAATTCATATTCACATCCGCCCACGTGTCAGAAACATCTGAGTTGATCATAGTTGGCTTCACAGCAATGGTTGGCTTGGAGAACACAGAGGTATTTACGCCTTCGTCTTCCAATGCTGGGCTCTCAGGCTTGCTCCTACCTCCATTCGGGAGCACGCCGCAAGCTCCCACGTCTGGGGGTGTTTGCAGCCGATGGGAACTCTTTGGATTGAAGCAGTTTTTACAGGAGCCAGGCTTCCACACGTGTTCCACAAAGTCACTGCACGCAGACATCTTCAAATCCTGGAGGCTCAGAGCAAGAGCCCAGTGTGTCTTCTACACTGTCCTTCACTGTTCATTTTGCAGTTGCTTTTAAGGTCACCAAGTTATCTGGAAAGGCACAGCACTGCCTGGTTAGTTTCAGTATCCACAAAACAGAAAGAAAAAAAGAAATGGAAAGATCTTTAATAGGACAGGTGATAATTACACTCATTCTGCCTTCGTCACAAAGGCTCATTGTTTACAAGGCTTTCTTCACAGCTTAGCTAAAGCCCACACAATCACTTAAAAAGCCTCAACTTCTAAGCATAACTCTGCAAGAGGAGACATCAAACAAGCAGCATTCCTACGTGATTTAATTCCCTGTTTAATGAGCGTGCAGAACCAGCCTCGTGCGAGGTTTAGATCAAGGGAAGGGGAAGAGGTCTTAGAAGAGCTGCTCATAGCCTTGCAGAGCAAAGCCAGGTGAGAAAGGTTTCCTTCCCAAAGTGACATCCTCTCTCTGGAAAAAAGCATGGAGATAAAATCATAGAATTATTAGGGTTGGAAAAGACTTCTATGACCATCAAGCACAACTGCCAACCTATCCCCACCATGCCCACCTAACTACCCCTCAGTGATACCAGAGTCAGTGACTGTAACCAAGGGGACCGACAACAACTGTCCTTCATCCAGAAGCACCACTGTGGTTCCTGCAGCTGCACACAAAGGCTTCTCTCCCAGCCAGACGAGCAGCAGGGCTGGGGCTGGCACTGATTGCAGCAAGTGCCTGGCAGAAAGCTCGCATCCGCTCTGCCAGGAGCCACAAATAACAGTGTCAGCTTGCTGAAACGATTCATTGTCTGCAAAGGGAGAAGCGCTTTGCTCTTGGATTACTTACAGACAAGGATGCCTTCCCATCTTCCTTCCCCAGGAGGAAATGCCCCAGGAGCAAGACATTCCTGCATTCCTGTGCCCCCTCCCTGAACGGCCAGATCTGATTGCGCTCAGTCAGTAGCTATCTGCAGCTAACAACTTTGGAGATACTTCAGAGACGACTCCCACAGAGCTCACTGGATTAGGGAAGAGAAGATCAGAAAACACAACTGGACCAGGAAAACTGCAGCTGACTGCTGTGAGTGCCATGCCACAGTAGCACCCTGTGTCACTGTGGGGTTCTTCCCTGCATCACCAACCTCAAGACACCAGCTCCCAGCCAGCAAGCTGGTGCTTGCAAACCAACCAAACCAAGATGTCTCCAAGGGTCTCCAAGGGCACATGCACTTTCCATCCCCAAACTAACAGCACCGAAGTAAATCTTACTACCTGATCCTGCTATGCTCTCACCATGCAGACACAAAAACATAGCTACAGACAACTTTGCACCTGTACACCTTCAGAACCAGATGCGCTTCTGTCACATTTTGATCCACTCTGCACTCTCTACAGCACGGGCACTTGGTTCCCAGATGGAAAGGGGGAAGAGCCAGTAAGAGCTCAGGGGGGACAAAGCAAACGGGAGAAATTCTAGCCAAAAAGCATCAGCTGAATCCAGTTGACCCCCTTGCTAAGGGGGCTCTTAGTGCTTAAGGTATCTACAGGCTGGTGCTGTCGGACAGGCTGATAAATTGACAAAAAGGATATCAATGAGATTCACAAATCAGATAGGAGGATGTCTCGCTCTTTACAGAGAAGAGACTGTTTTAGACAGGTTTTTTTGTAGATTTCACAGACTCCAATCACTTTTAGACACACACCCAACACCTCATGCTTCTACAAAATTCACATTATTTGCCAGGGAAGAACAATAACAACAAAACCCCACATCTTTTCAAACATGACCGCGCTCTCACTTCGTTTCCTTTCAGATGCAGCAAGCAGCAACCAACCCTCCATCAAGCTGGGGATTGCCTTCAGATGTGGGCTGCTCACCAAGTCAGGGGGCAATGATCCAAGCGCCCCATTATTCATTTTATCCACCCGACCGAGAAAAGAAAAATTAACGTGCTACGATGCAGGGATGCTGAACGCCGGGATGGAAGCCGGGAAGTTCGCAGCTCTAATGGCTCCTGCATCACCCGAAGGTGGTTAACAAGTGTCCTGATGGGAGCTAGCAATGGGGGAGAGGGAAGAAAAAAAAAAAAAAAAGAAAAAAAAAAAAAAAGCACCACACAAAGGGAAGGCAGGGAGCGGAGACAGGGAAAACCCCTCATTCCCGGCCCACAGCCGGCGCTGCGCCGCTCAGCCCGGGATCCTCCTCCCGCAGCCGGAGCAACGCTCAAAGCCGGCGGGCAGCAGGAGCCCAGCGCGGCTCGGATGCGCCCCGCGGGGCTTCATCGGAGCGAGGATGCTCCGGCCACGAGGCCCCCCCAGGCGCCGACCTGCCCGAAGTTTCCCGAGAGGACGCTTCGCCCCCACCCCCCAGACTCCATTGGGGTCTCCCCGAGCCCGGCTTTGTCCCGGCGCTGCCCGCCCCCGGCCCCGCCGCGCTCACCGCGCTCCGCTCCGCACTGCCGCCGCCGGGCGACTGCGAGCGCTGCTCCGCGTGGGCCGGGGGTAGCGGCCGCCCCGCCCCGATCCGCCCCACCTCACCCCACCCCGCCGGGAGGCAGCGGGAGCGGAGCTCCGCAGCCCACCGCCGCCTCCGTGCTGTGTGGTTGGGAGCGTTTCAGCAATTCGCGATCTGAGGAGCGGAGCTGGAGGGAAAGGAAAAGCCTCTCCGCCCAGTTCGGGGCTCTCCTTGCTCTGCTTCTTCCCAGTTCCACATGCGATCGGTTACTAAAACAGCCCAGAAACGCCACGTTAAGAGAATCGCAGGAAAACGCTCCTCCGCTTCACTTGCCACATTGCTATAAAGGAGTCTGCCCAACACATCTCCCGCTTTGCCTTTCAAGCAAAGCACTCATTTGCTCACCACAAATTCACTGCATCTCTTTGCAGCACCAGTGCACTCACTCAAATGAGCGCATTCACTCTCAGAAACACATTAATCACGACTGAAACCTTCTTTCTAGCCACGCTTCATCTGCACAAGGGGAAAATCACCCTGGAAAGTCATCAGCACCACCTGGGTTACACACCTGAGGACACAGGTGCCTCAATCCCAAAGATTTTCCACTGGACCCTTGTGGCAAGTTAATGGAGCTGGAGCATTCCAGGGCTGCCAGGAACCCGTGTGCTCACTGCCAATTTCCCTGGTAGCTCCCAGGGTCCCCTGGCTGGCCCATCCAACCATAGCTGGAGATTGCCTTAGAAAATGACAGCGTTCCTACATCTCTGAGATGTCCACCCCATGTGGAAAATCCTTTCCCATGCCAGAAGCTTTGGGGTTACAGATTAATGACAATTCATTTGTTCCAGTGAAGTCATAGATTCACTAAGGTTGGAAAAGACCTCTAGGTTCACTAAGTCCCCACCATGCCTGCTAATCACATCCCTCAGTGCCACATCTCCATGGTTCCTCAGCACCTCCAGAAATGGTAACACCACCACCTCCCTGGGCAGCCTGTGCCACTGCATCACCTCCTGATAAGAAGTGTTTTCTAATATCCTATTTGAATCTACTTGAGGGCAACTTGAGGCCATTCTTTCTCATTCTAAAGTCATTTTCTTCCTATGTCCAAAGACATAAGGAAAACAGTGCACGCTCACATTTTCAGAAAACTACTGTTGTTCAAGGACTGAGATCAATGATGACAGTTTTTTGGGTGGCTGTAATCTCCGATGGTTTTTTCAATACAGCATTCAGTGTTGTTCGTGACAGCATTTTATCAGTGGCCACGAATTGCAATATTGAGGCACGTATCCTTGGAACTGGCCTTTCTGTGCACCCTGTATCTTCTCCCACTCCAATTTTTCTGCTTGCCGTGCCCCTTTTTGCAAGCCCCCACACAGCATTTCTCCCCTCTCTTTCTTGCAGAGGTGTGTGGGCTGCCCCATTCCCAAGGCTTCTCCTTGGCCCTATGAATGTTCCATCTCGTAGGAGGAGAATGTACCCTGGGACCAGCGTACGTAGATACCAGGATCCAAAAAAGTCCTAAAATCCAAACCCCTATAAAAACGATCAGCCTTAGGAGCCAAACCAATGTAGTCTCCGAACCACTCTCTATGGGAGTTAATCACCGACCACATCTGGAGGCTCACAGTGTAGACAGGGACCATCTACCTTATAGAATCTCAACCACTAACACAATCCCATGCAGAATGGGCAGCCCCGTGCCCATCCACGACTGGCACAGTGATGCCTTTGCTTGGGGGACTGCAGCAAAGGGGGGCTGTCTTCTCCCTGCCGAAGAGCAACAGTGGCTGCTAAGAAATCACAGATAATGGCCCTTTTGATGGATGCTCAGCTTGTGCTTTTGGGATGCAGCAGTCGTGGAGGGGCTGGGAAGGGGGAGGCGGTGCAGAGGCGTATGACAGTGCTGATAACAAGTGGGCTTTGTGTGTTGTGCTCAGAGCACCCGCAGCTGCCCCGGCCTCCTTTCCCACCCGAGGTAGAAGAAGAGCACTTCATCTGCAAACAGCCAAGCTGTCAGCCGGCTGTGTCCTCCATGCCACTCACAGCTGCTATTACAGTGGGTGACAATGGGAGCACTGGTCCCCCTGAAACTAGCTAAACCTCACTTCCACGGGAGAGGGAAAGATGAACCACGCTGGGGAGCAAGAGCAGGCGTGCATGCAGGTGCAGAAAGCTGGCAGCCAAACAAAGAGAGATCCTGGGGGCAGATATGGGTGCGTGCAGGCTGTGGTGCTCATCAGCACGGCTGTCTGGGAGCAAGAGCAAAGGCGAGCACATAGGGGGTAAAGGAGCCAAATTCTCCTTGATGGGAAGAAGCACCAGCGATGAGGCACAGCTGCTTTGTTTAACCCCAAGACCCCACAGTTGGGGGATAACGGGTCCAGCAAAGCCAGTGAATTACCCTCGATCCTCATCAGGCCATATGCTGGGCACCTTCCCAGCTGTTTACTGAGCAGCCAACCCACCATGCTTTTCCCAGCCCCATCACAGAGCTGCCTCATCCCCCATGCTCCGACTTTAGGGCGGTGCTGTGTGGAGCTGGCAGTTGGACTTGATGGTCCTTGTGGCTCCCTTACAACTTGGGATATTCTATGATTCTGTGATGTTATGATCCCAATGATACTCAAAGAGCATTACTAGGTCTGGAGAGCCATTGCCATGGAAGGAACAGACACGGGGTGCTGCAGGAGAGCAGTTTCCTGTCTTTCCCCAATATGACTTGTTTTTTCTCTTGCTCCCCAGTGGTGTATGGTGTTTACAGGCACTGGGAAACATTCACTTCTTGCACGCCTTCCAATGGAGCGTGGGAAAAGCTCTCACCCGAAGCAAAAAAACACGGGAATTTGCTTTCAAGTCTATTCTTCTCACTCCCTTTCTCTCCAAGTGAAAAGCCCTGAGCTGGCTTTTTTCTTTGCAAGGCAAGTTTTCTGGCCAAGGCAAACCACTGTTTGTCTCTCATGCTGTCAGCAGGGTGACAGGCATCAGCACAGGCTGCATGCACCTTCCTCTCCTTTGAAATGAAGGAAACGGCACAATTCAGCTTCAGTGGAAAGAAATCAGGGGATGCACGGAGCCACTGGTGCTCGTGCAGGTAAAGACGCAACCAGAGGCCCCCAGCACAGTTTTTCCTGTGTGAACCTTCTTCCATGAGAGGTGCCTTAGGTGAGCAGTTGCAGAGGCGGCCAGATGGAGCTGATGGAGGTGTTTGCTTTCTCTGCCTTCCCCCCCACGCCCTCTTCTTAATTGTTTGCACGTCAAGAAGTGACTTGCCGTATTGCAGCCTCCCAAAGGGAGGCTGATGTTCAACTCCTAACCTGAAACTGCCTCTCAGGGAGGCAGCAGCACCCACCTCCCTCTGTTCTCACGTCCCCTCCCCACTGAGCAGCATCTCACCCTCCCCTCGCTGCGCTCCCTGTTAATGAGCACAGAGAAAAACAGTGCAGAGCTGCCATTCAGGGCCTCACTCAGACACCAAAGCATCTCCGTGCATTAATAATCCCTTTCAAAAGCCCCTTCCCTGCATGCATTCCCCCCTCTCTCACCCTTTTCAGGAGCAACTGTGATTCATCTGAGGTGTGAAACGGCACGGTAAAATTTTAATGCAGCCTGAACATGAGATGTGAGAGAGCTCAAATGCCTTTTAAGCAGCCTGTCTGTCTCCAGCAACTGCTTTGAAGGCAAGATCACTTCAGCACCGCTCAAAAAGCTTCAAAGAGAATATTTGGGACTGATTTTGATGTGACTAGGAGATGGCAGCAAGCCTACAAACACAGTTCCCCCAAAGGATGAGCGGCAGCCTGAGATGATCCATGGCATGTGCTATGTATGGCCTGAGCTATGAGATTTGGAACCTATAGGATTCCCACAGAGTGCTGTGACCCGTGGCCAGAGCCCTGGTTACATTGCATGCCAGAGGTGTGCCCTCAGCCATGATTTCCAGGACTGGAAAGCAGGGGAGAGTTCGTGGTGCCCAGGGTGCCTGCACTGATAGGAGAAGTATGAAAATAAGGCAGAACGCTGGGGTTAGCCCAAACAGAAAGAGACGCTGATAGCACGCAAGGACTGATTCCTCTGTGGCCAGGATGGGTAAATAAAAGAGGGACAAAAAACATCCCCAAAAGTGGAGCTAGGAGATGAATGAACAGGATGAAGCTGAAGGATCAGAGGAGGTACTTTGCTCCCCCCATTAGCTCAGATAACAAAAATCCCCCAACCAATCAGAGCTGCTTTTCATCATCACATGTGGTTCACTGGCTCACTAGGGCTGTATGGACCCCATAACAACACAGCAGTGCCCTCACAAAGGGAAATGCCTCAAGGTCACAGAATTGTAGAATCATTAAAAAAAGATCTATAAGATCATCCAGTCCAAAACCCAGCCCATCCCCACCATGCCCACTAACCACACCCCTCAGTGCCACATCTCCACTGTTCTTGAACACCTCCAAATACGGTGATGGCACCACTTCCCTGGGCAGCCTGTAACATGGGTCCTTCAAACCCATCTTGGGAATGTCAAAGCCAAAGCATGGAGCTGAGTCCCCCATCTCCAGGCTTCCCATGCATGACAGCTGGCTGGTCCTGGGGCTCCCGCACCATGGGCAGGATGTTAGCCTAAAGCACCATGCAGCATGGCTCCACTTAGGTTCTGAGCAGCTCTCATCACTCCTTGCCAGAGCATCTGTGCCCATTTTCTTGCCAATCTGGCCCCAGGGGAACACGTCAGCCTGGGGCTGCTGGAAGGATTTGGGGAAGGTGAAAGCTGCAGCTCTCCATCTCCTTTGCCATCGAGGAAGAGAAGTGAAGCTCTTTGGGAGGTGGGTAGTGTAGGTAGGACCCCTGCGGGTACTGTAACTGCTTGGCTTTTCTTTGTAAATTATGTGATGCACCAAAATGATTTGCCTCCTGGGGCACAGAAAAGAGGACCCATGGCAAGAATGCTCTTCTTTTAAATGTAAATGCACAGCACTACACCATCCTCTCCCCTCACCAGAATGGAGGCAGTGGGAGATGTAGGTAAATCAGACAAATCCCCTTGTGTCTGCTCTTCTCTGTCCCGCTTGCAGGAGGGTACAAATGGAAACAATCTGCTTTCCTGGGGCCTGCTACTCCTGCAGGATAGAAGTCAGCAGTGCCATGCAGGAGGCTGGAGACAATCAAATGCAAATTATGCCTTGAGTGCAGCTAGAGT